ACGTGCCAGGCATGGCCGTCACGCTGATGTGGCGCATGGTGAAGAGTCCGACCCCAGCGGACGGCCGCCCAGGCTCAAGTCGCCGACGAGGTGTGATGATAGCGCGCCACCCCCTCACGAGCTGCCCATCCCTGCGCACGCCGAAGCTCATCTCCATCAACACGGAGCTCCTGCGCCGCGACAGCCTTCACCGAGGGGCCGCATTTCTCCAGCAACTCACGGCGCGTCCCCCAAGACGACCCGTTGTAGGTGACCAGGACCACGTTCTTCCTGGCTGCGCGGCGTCTGCCCCGCTGCTCACATCTGGCCTGCGTTCTCCCAAGCTGCAGCTGCCGCTCCTGAGGGGCGAAAAGCGGCTGACATTTTGGCTGCAGGCGCAAGTGGTGCCGCAGGAGCCGTTGCCTGGGCGGGGGGGGGGGGGGGCGGGTGTGCCAAGCCCCAGTGGCTGCGGCCTGCAAGGCTGGCAGCAGGGAAGGCCATGCCCATGGCCTGGACCTGCGCGTTGATCGACTCGAGGGCGCGATCCCCTGGCCGTTCTGCACCTGGGTGGGGGCCACGCTGAGCACGGCCTGCAGGCCGCACAGCGTGGTGGCCAGGCCCTGCAGGTCCACTCCGCTGGGGCCCGCCGCAGCCTGCTGCCACGGCGCGAGTGGCCTGGCTGCCTCATGCTCCAGCACTTCGATCTCGCCGTCGATCGTGGTCTGCAGCTTGTGCAAGTGGCGACGCCTCTCAAGCCTCGATAAGGTCGGTACCCGACTTGGCCCTACGCCCTCGAGCATCCGTGAGCTTGGCCTGCAGCTCGCGGAGGAGGACGTCGGGCGGCTGCGCCTGCCCCTCGCGAGCTCCAGGTCGGCGAGCTCGGCCTTGGCGGCAACGATGAGGCGGTGGTCATCGGCGTACTGCAGTCCTTGCAGCGCCTTGAGCCCTTGTCTGCCCGATCCGCCGCTGTGGTGGCCGCACCACGGGCCGAGGACCACCAGCAGCACGATCACCGGAGGACCCGAGCGGTGGCGCCTCCGAGCGCAGTCGACCGCGGCGGGTTGGCCTCCATCACTGCCTGGCGGCGCCTCGGCGGGTGGGCGCGGCCAGCACGGTCTCGACCACACTTCCAGCACGTCAGGACGGCTGCCGAAGTTGGTCCTGAAGCCACATGCCCGCGTGGCCACGCAGGCTCACTGGGGCTCGGCGGCGCCGCCTGGCGCGGCTCGCCACGGCGGCGTGGCCATGGCGCCTGCTGGGGACAGTCGCCGTGATGGCCCGACAGCAGCGCCCTGGCGGCGGCACGCAGCAGCCGCCGAGCGCTGGCTCGCCGCCGCCGCAGCCGCCTATGCCAGGCAGGTGAGGGCGGCCGCTCACGGCGCACCCGCCGCCGCCGCCGCCGCCGTCCGTGATGATGCATCTCGCGGCCCGAAGGGGGGCGGGAGGCTGGGGGCTCGCGCGCACGGGCCGCCCCTGGCCCGCAGCGATCAACCTAGGAGCAGGAGGAGGAGGAAAGGCGGGAGGAGGAGGAGGTGGAGGAGGAGGGATAGTGAGGAGGGGGAGGAGTCCGCGGCGCCGTCTTCAGTTCGCGCCGCTCGCGCGCGCCGTCTTCTGTTCGCGCCGTGGTCGATCGGCGGCGGCGGCGGTCGAGCGGCGCCGGGCCCCGCGCGTCGGCGCCCGCAGGCCTTGAAGTCGGGCCTGCCCCTCCACAGGAGGAGCATCCAAAAATAGTCATTAAGCAACAATCGCTTGTGGTAGTTGTGTTTGATGACTGTTGCTAATCAAGTTTTTGGTGGATCTATATATATATATATATATATGTAAATGTATGTATGTATGCACAGGGAATTCAGAAAACTAGGACGGCATGCCTGGGCTCAGTCTCGCGGACCTATTCCATCATCATATGAGTCAAATCCTTTATTTTGTTTCATGCCCTGCTGTCATCGCGCGAGTGAGACTCGAAAGCCTAGTCTGAAAAATGGTCACGGCTTATCTTCCCCAAGATTTTCTTCCGCAGTGTCCTCCAGATCTTCACCCAGATCTTCACCCAGATGTTCCTTTGAGTTCCCGCAGATTTTCACCCAGATTCCTCCCAGATCGTCACGCAGATCTTGAGGTCTCCCTCCAGATCGTGATTCAGATCTTCTCCTCCTTTTCCCCAAAAAAGTCCCCCCCCCCGATCTTCACCCAGATCTTCGCCCAAATCCCCTCCTAGATCTGCCCCCGTATCTTCCTTCGGATCCTCGCCCAGATCTTCCCCCAGATCCCACCAGATCTTCCCCAGATCTCCTCCCAGATCTTTCCCCAGATCTTCCTCCAGATCATCCCCCTGATCTTCCCCCAGATTTTTCTTTCCCCCAGATCTTCCTCCATATCGTTCTCCAGATCTTCCCTCATATCTTCGCTTAGATGTCTTCGCCCAGATCTCCCCCCAGAGCTTCCCCCAGATATTCCCCTCAGATCTTCCCCCAGATCTTCTTCCAGATCGCCGCGCAGATCTCCCACCAGATCTTCCCACAGATTTTCCCCCAGATCTCCCCCCAGATCTTTCCCCAGATCTTCCTCCATATCTTCCCCTAGATCTTCCCCCAGATCCTCCCCCCACTTTTCGGGGGAAGATCTGGGGGATCGAGGTTCGAGGCCTTCTGGCCTTCGGGGGCGCGAAAAGCTGGCGCGCTGCGACCCTGGGATGGGTCCGCGGACCCATCTTGAGCGAATTTTGGCCGAGGAGTTCGAGCTTCCCCCAGAGCTCCCCCCCAGATCTTATTCCAGATCTTTCTAAGTGTTCCCCGATCTCCCCCCGGATCTTCCTCCGATCTTCCCACATCTCCCCCCAGATCTTCCCCAGATCTTCACCCAGATCTTCTCCAGATTCACCCAGAGTTTACCCCAGATCTTACCCCACATTTTCCCCCGGATCTTCCCCGAGATCTCCCTTCAGATTTTCCGCCAGATCTTCCCACAGATCTTCCCCCAGATCTTCCCCCAGATCTTCCTCCAGATCTTCGCCCAGATCTTCCACCAGATATTACCCCTGATGTTCTCCCAGATATTTCCCCAAATCTCTCCCCGGATGTTTCCCAAGATCCTCCGCCAGATCTTCCCACAGATCTTCCCCCAGATCTTCCCCCAGATCTTCCTCCAGATCTTCGCCCAGATCTTCCACCAGATATTACCCCTGATGTTCTCCCAGATATTTCCCCAAATCTCTCCCCGGATGTTTCCCAAGATCCTCCGCCAGATCTTCCCTCAGATCTTCCTCCAAATCGTCACCCAGATTTTTCCTCAGATCTTTCCCGATGTTGTCCTGCAGAGCCGTTCCTATGTTTCCCCAATATATTCACCCAGATATTGATTCAGGTCTTCCCCCAGATCTTCCTCCAAATCGTCACCCAGATTGTTCCTCAGATCTTTCCCGATGTTGTCCTGCAGAGCCGTTCCTATGTTTCCCCAATATATTCACCCAGATATTGATTCAGGTCTTCCCCCAGATCTTCCCCCAGGTCTCTTCCCCCAGATCTTCCTCAAGATCGTCCTCCAGATCTTCGCCCAGATATCCCCCCAGATGTTTCCCCATATCTTCTCCCTCAGATTTTTCCAGAACTTCCCGAGATCTCCCCGCAAATCTTGCTGCAGATTTGCGACGCACTACACCGCCAAATCTTCCTCTGCACATTCCCCAGATTTTCGCTCAGATGTCCCTCCAGATCTTCCGTCAGATGTCCCTCCAGATTTTCCTCCAGACTTCCCGCCAAATATTATATCCGAGATGTTCCCCCAGATCTCCCCCAGATCTTTTGCCAAATATTCCTCCAGATTTATCGCTTTGCAACCGCGCCAAATCTTCCGTTGGACACTCCCCAGATCTCCCGACTGATCTTCCCCCAGGATTTCCCCTTCTGTTCCAGGGCGTCCCTTGTTTTGTTTCATGCCGCGTCGCGGGTCCGGTCCTTTTTTTTTGTTGTCGAATTCTTAGTTTAGTTCTCTGCCTCGCTTCGGGGCTGCGATCTCTACGCGACAACCTAGGATTGAAACTTCCTTATTTTAGAATTCCTTGTTTTTTCAAACTCCCATACATATGTATATATAGATATAGATATTGATATAGATTGATTATTGTTAATATGCCGTCCAGAATCCGCCTGTAGGAGGACATGCGCGACCTAATTCAAGCCAGAGGCCCCGGAGGAACACCGCGGGGACCTGCCGCCGAGGCCGTGGCGGCCGTCGTCGTCGACGTCGTGGTCCTCGTCGCCGTGGTCTCTGTGGGCGTCTCCGTCGTCGCCGTCGTCCTCGTCGTCGTCACCGACCCGTGTGCCGTCGTGCGTCCTCGCCGTCGTCGTCGTCGCCGATGCGTCGTCCGGCGTTGCCTCTCGTCCTCCCCTGCCGCGCCCTCGTCCTCCTCCTCCCGGGCCGGCGCCCGTTCGTGGCACCCGCCGCCCTTCAGCCAGGGGGAGCGGCGCCACCTGCAGCACAGCAGCTGGCACGATGCGACCCGGTGGACTTTCGGCGGCGAGCGAGGGGGGCGAGTGAGAGGGAGGAGGCCTTCTCAGAAGGCGGCGGGGCTTCTCAGAAGCCCTCGCGCCTGCTCAGAAGTTTCCCGTGTCTTCGGGGGAGGCTCGGAAAACGTCCCAGAAGGCCGGGGGACTTTCGAGCCGTCTGAGAATGGCCCGCCCCTTCTCACTTCCCCCCCTAGGCTCTTCGCCGACTGCTGCCTCTCTAGGGCGTCCCTGCCCCCGAGTGGCGGGAACGCCGCGGACCTTGCAGCCGCCCCATGGCTGCCGCGGTAAGGACTTCGGCTTGGGCCCAGACGGTAGGCGGCTCTTGTTTTCGCCGCCCACCGCCTTCTGGTCCCCGTCCTCGTCGTCGCCGCCGCCGATGCTTGCTGGATGCAGGCATCGGGCGGCTATTGCTTCCGCCGCCCGCCGCCTCCTCGTCCTCGTCGTCGTCGTCCCCGCCGCCGCTGCTTGCGGGATGCGGGTGTCGACTCTCCGTGCGCGGTCCCGCCCGGCGGCGAGGTGGAGCTGCGTGCCGCTCGGGGCGGCGCTGGTGCTGCTGCGCGGGTGGCCCCGGGTGCTGGCCGCAGGCCTTGAGGGGGGGGCTCGCTGTGGCCGTCGTTGTTGAGGCCGTCGCCGCTTGTCCTCGGCGCCCTCGTCGTCCTCGGCGTCGTCCGCCTCGCCGTCGCCCCGAGCGTCCTCGGCGTCGTCCTCGGCGTCGTCGTCGTCGTCGCCCTCGTCGTCGTCGCCCTCGTCCTCGTCGTCGTCCTTGCATACTCGTCGCCGCCCTTCTCCTCGTTGTCGCGCCCTTGGCGTCGTCATCGTTGTCATTGTCCTCGTCGTCGTCGCCTTCATCCTCGTCGTCATCTTCGTCGTCCTCGTCGTCGGTGTCGCCCTCGTCATAAGACGATCACCCGGCACAGATCAGGCAGCGACTGGAGGCTGATAGCCGAGCGTTCCGGGCGGGCCGAAGTCGTGGCCAAGGGGCCTCCAAGACGGCCGAGACGTGCCAAAGGCGGGCCAATACGGCCGCAAGACTCACCGAGCGCGTTCCACTACTCGCAAAGTGCCTACTCGCAAACGTACGAAAGACAGACGTCTGCTACGATCGACTTTATCGTAGGATCCCTCGCGGCGGATCCAAGCCATTTGCGAGTAGTGACTTTGCGAGTAGTGGAACGCGCTCGTCTGAAGACAGAACAACGGGCTTCCTTTCGACGACCCCAGAGGACCCGAACAGGACGCCCACTAGACCCCGAATGTGCTTACATTGTAGATTGGTGTTCTCCTTTGTGTTTGGACGATGTTCGCACACTCGTCGTTTCCGTCTTCAGAGCCACCACGACGGCCCAAGCAGCCCCCAAGCTCGCCCCGTCACGACCCAAGACGCGCCCCAGAGGCCCCAAGAGTAGGCCAGGAGCGGCCCAGGACGGCTCAAGTCAGGATGGCCCCGAGACGCCCCACGAGGGCCCCCAGAGGGTCTACAAACAGGCGCCGAGAACCATAACACAGCCAAGTAGGGCCCCCAAAAGAACCCAAGATGGCCCAGGGGGGCTCGAGACGGCCCAGGAGGGCCCGAAGACGACCAAGCAGCCCCCCCCGATACGGGCTCATGCAGCTCCAAGAGATCCTGAGGACGGGCCCACTCGAAACGTTGAATTGATACGACGCGGCCATCGAAGATGTATTTCAATACAGTTTGCCAGCGTGGACCCCGAACAGTGAGTCCTTGCAATGTGGAGGCGGACAGAGACGGAAACTACGTTGTGTAAGGCATGTGGTGCAACCTATGTGGTGTAACCGTTTCGGTGTGAGTTCTGTGGCGCACGATGTGTTGTGCAAGCGTGCGGTGTAAGCTATGCTGTGTATGCTTTGAGATGTGTGTTGTGCAAGCTATGTGCCGTAAGCTATGCGGCATGCGCCGTGCGGTGAAAGTTAAGCAGCGCAATGCATGTGTTGAGCGCCGTGTTGTGTGAGCGGCGTGGTGCCAGCTGTGCGGCGTGAGCTTGGAACAGGAAGGCAGATTTTGTGTCATAAGTTTTGCATGTGTTGTGTACCCAAGGTGTCCGATGTAACTCGAATCTTTGGCTCAAGGGAAAACATCTGCATGCCCTTGCTGCTGCCAATCCCGTGTGTTTTTGACCCTGGCCCTACGGCGTACGGATCTGCGTGAGGGGTGCCACCGAATTTCAGAAATGTGGCAAATCGTATGTGTTTTTGGTCCCTGACCCTACGGATCTGCGTGAGGGGTGCCACAGAATTTCAGAAATGTAGCACATCCGTATGTGTTTTTGGACTCTGACCCTACGGATCTGCGTGAGGGGTGCCACCGAATTTCAGAAATGTGGCAAATCCCGTGTGTTTTTGGACTCTGACCCTACGGATCTGCGTGAGGGGTGCCACCGAATGTCAGACATGTGGCAAATCCCGTGTGTTTTTGGACCCTGACCCTACGGATCTGCATGAGGGGTGCCACCGAATTTCAGAAATGTGGCAAATCCCATATGTTTTTGGACTCTGACCCTAAGGATCTGCGTGAGGGGTTACCGAATTTCAGAAATGTGGCAAATCCCTTATGTTTTTGGACCCTGACCTTGCGGATCTGCCTGAGGGGTGTCAATTTCTGCCCCCCTAGAAAGTCTGAGAACCCTCCCAGGGCGTGGTAGTTCTGCTGGTTTGGGCTCCCCCCCTTGCGGCTCTACAACAAGGAACAGTAAGCAGCAAGAAGCAGAAATGTCACAGTGGAAACTAGAAGCTGCAAATGGTACAGGGAGCAGCACACTCCTGGCCTACAGCCTGGTGGCCCCGCAAGGGGGCCGGCGGATTTTTCGGTGATTTGATTATTTTTTAGTTTTGCGCTAACCCAAGGCCAGCGTGGCGTTGCGACGGACCGAGTCGATGCGGGAAATCTGGGTGGGGACCGAGGTTGCCATGATGGCGTCCTCTTGCGGCACGTTGTGGGAGACCAGATAGGGGATTGATTTGCCGAAGATGTTGCTGAAGCGATTCCCCACCCCGAATCCATTTCAGGCCAGAACACAGTGATGTTACGTTCCTCTTGGTAGTTTCACATCTGCTCTGTTAGATAGCGTGTGCAAGCTTACTGTCCCGGATGGTCTCCACCTGGTAGTTCCGAAAGCCCGCCTTGTGTCAAATGGTACATGCCCGTTCCCGGATACCGAACCCGACGGCCATCTTCTTTTGTTCTTGGGCCCGGGGCTCCTGTGCGGGAGAAGCCTGGGCACGCGGGGACAAAGCTTCTCGCCCCTGGCATGCCACACGTGCATGGGTCTGCCCAGGGCCGCCAGGCTTGTCCATCCCACGCATCAGCTGCGGGGGGTGTGATCCTTCTTCCCCTTCTCCCGACCTGTTCGGTGCTCGCAGTGCGGTGCCCATGGGAGAGAGAGAGAGAGAGAGAGAGAAAGAAAAAAATTGAAAAGAGAATGCACGAGGACCTTGCCCTAGGGAACCTCGTGACGAGCATGGCGGAAGAAGGCTTTGAGGCTCCCGGAGGAGGGCCGCGACCCGAGTTCCAATGACAGAGCATCTTTTTCGGGCGCAGCACGCCGCTGCTGGGACGGCAGGCGGCTGCGTGAGGCTCCCGAGTCCGTCCCTCCTCCCCTCCTCCCTCTCTCTGCCGCAGGCTCTGCTTTTCACTTGTGGGTTGCCGCTCCTGCCGACAGCATCTGGAGATTTGAGGAGGGGGGGGCCACGAGGGAAATCTCGAAAGGCCTCGCGCGGCGCGCAATGGTTGCAGCATCTTGTCTGCACGTCCTCCCCGTCAGATATGGGACGACGCTCGCGCGGCGATGATCCCACGCAAATCCGGCCTAGATACGACCAAGTCCGACGCAATCCGACGCGAACCCGACATAACGCGACGTAGCTCCGACGTACATTCTGTCTCGCGTTGCCGCGCGAACCCCCCAGGATCTCCCGTCACAGCCGCCCGTCGAGGGCCCCAGGACGCGGTCGGTTCTTCGTTCTGGGCAGTCTGTTGACGGTCTGGGGGCCCGGCGAGGGCCCCGGGAGGCCGACAATAGCCCAGAGCCGGCCGCTCCAGTCTGTTCGGAGCCACGGAGCTCTGGAGGGCGGCCCCGTCCTGCCGTGAAGTCGGGCGTGTCCCTCTACAGGAGGAAGGTTCAAAAATAGTCCAAGAATAGCCCGGGGACGATTTGTTGATTTTGATTGGTTTTGAAGATTGTTGGAGTATGTTTGGGGGTATGTTTAACTCTACGTCCAAAATCCGCCTGTAGGGGGACGTGCCCGACCTAGTCCAGGAGCGAGAGAAGGAAGTACACGCACATGCATCCACGCTGGTTTCGAGAGTTCGCATGGCGCGAAGGTTCGTACCACGCGGCCGGTCTCGCGGGTCAGGCGTGGCATCGCTCGGACGTGTGCTTGTTTCTTTCGGCGAGGACCATCGAGGAGCATCCTTGATCATTTGGCGAAAAAACACGCACGAAACCGAAAAAAACACAGGGAATGGACGTCCGAGCGATGGCCAGCAAGGGGCCGTGTTCATGTGCATAGCTGGGCGCGTGCGTCCATTTTGGGCTCCCTGCTCATCCCTCCGCCCGCCGACAGCCCGACTCCCCCTCCACCCGCCTCCGCCCGCCGCAGGCGGTCCCCACTCCCTCGCGCACCGGCTCTATCTGGTGACCCAGGCCGCGGCCCTCGGTCTCTCGGCGACGACGACGACAACCACGACGTTGACGACGACGACGACGACGACGACGACGACCACGACGACGACGACGGCGACGGCGACGGCGACGACGACGACGATGGCGACGGCGACGGCGACGACGACGACGACGACGGTGCCGACGGTGCCGACGACGGCAACTGCGACGGCGGCGGCGACGACGACGCTGACGACGTTGGCGACGACAACGACGTCATGTGGGAAATGGATGTGGAGGGCAAGGGAGGGAGGAAAGCGAGGGAATGGGGGGGGCAGAAGGGGAGGAGGAGTAGGACAGAGACGGAACGTTGGAGGGATGCAGTATGGAGTAGAGGAGGGAGGGAGGAGGTGGAAGGAGGGAGGAGGATGCGGTAGGAGGGAATAGGATGAGGAGGGAGGTGGAGGGAGGAGTATGAGATAGGAGGGAAGAGGAGGAGGAGTGGAGGAGGACGAGGAGAGGGAGTGGAAACCAAGTGCAGGCACATGATTGCCCCTACAAGAAGCCTTGGGTAAGGGACGAAGCCCCTTTTCTGGCCCCAGCAGCGCCTAGACTTACGAGGAGTGCCAAAGGAAGCCGAGAGGGAAGGGCCTGAGGATCCTGGATGCCCCCTCCAAAGCCAGAGCGGTCCTGATTCCAGCACTGTCATTGTAGGGCAGGGTGGAGAGAAGCGATAGGTCAGGTTGCAACTCGTGGGAGATTGAATTCGGCCTCGGCCCTGGTATATCCTTGGTCGGCACCTGCCCTAATACAGCTCAATCTGGCAGACTACCTGACTCAATCTGGGCGAATTTGGCTCGGGCAGCAGCCCCACTGAGAAGGCTCAGTACCTCGTGGTCGCGCCTACGAAGACCTCCCAGCAGCTACCTCCTACGACATGGGGCGAGGACGGGGCCCACTCTGATGTGGTCGATCCGCTTCGATGCCGAGTTCGCCGGGCTCGATTCAGGATGTCTTAAGATTTCGACATCGAGGCGAGCCGATAAGCCCGATTCAACGCACGTTTCGATTGGATGTAACCTCCCGGTTCGATGCCGACTGATGCTGGAGGAGGCGGAGAACGGGAGGTCCGGGCGGGAAGGGAGCGTTCGCCGGCCAGTGCGCGGAAGTAGGGGCCCTTGAAGGCGTCGGGAGAGGCTCTGCTCTGGGGGCCGAGTCCCGGGTCCAGGTCGGGGGACCTGTTCGCGGCCGAGGCTCGCCGTCGTCAGAACACCTCTTCTCTTCTCGCGAGGCGTGTCGAGCGCAGTCGTCAAGATTTCTTGGAGGTCGGCAGACCCTGCTACCCTGACACGTCGATTAGCGAAGTGGCCGTTTTCGGTTCGCGAGAGGGCGTCGCGGCCGTCATTTTTGCGGGCCCGGGTCCGTCGGTGTCGGTCCCAGGCCGTGTTCTACAAGGGGAGGTTTACTAAAGGGAGGTTTGCCCACCGCCGAATGTCGCGCCGAAGACCACCGGCAGTTGCCGAAGATCGCCAGGCACCGCCGAGATCCATCGAAGGACAATCAGAAGGCCGCCGGCAGCCCGCCGAAGACCGCACCAGGCCAGTGGGCAACAGGGGATCCCCGTGGTCGAGTGCGTGCAGCCAGCCCGCAGTGAAAGCTTGATGAGGCAATGCAGTCCGTGTCTCCGCCGCCCCCGCCCCAGTCAAAGTCCGAGTTGGCCCCAGGCAGTTCGCTCGGCGGCCGCCCTCGCCGCCACGGACCACGAGGCCCACGTGCGACCTCGCAGGGATCCGAAGGATAGCACCTGACCGCGTGCCTACTTCCCTCCCGATGTTTTTTTTTTTTGTCGGGAGGGTGGACGCCCTTCGTTCCTCGCGAGACTGTGGTTTTCCGGGTCCAGCGGCAACCCGTGTCATCGGGCCCGCCCGCCCCCTTTCGGATCATTTGACCTTGTCGGTTGCGCATGGGGGCTGCGCAGTAGTGGTGCGCGCGGGCATACGAGTGTTGCCAAGAGCGAGAAGGTCAGACTACCGACCATAACAATTTCCCCCCCCCAGCGGATGACCCCGGCGACACATAGAGATGTCAGTCAGCGTGGACCGCGAGCAGTGTTTTTCTAGCAAGTTCTGTGGTGAAGTGTTGTGCAATCGATGTGGTGCAATCCACATGGTGCAACTGCAGTGGGGGCGCGCACCAAGATACCATATGCTTTTCGTCAGGGTATCCTGGGTTTCTTCGCTCCTCGCGCTGCGCGGTGACTTCCCGCAGCCGTTGAAGGAGCTGCGGCGTTCAGGGTGCTCCAGGTTTCCCCTCAGGTGCACCTCGCGCACGGGTTCTCGGGGCTTGGTTTCTTTCGAGGGTGTCTTGCGGCCCCGCCCGCACTGTATGTGGTGCAATCTATGTGGTGCAGTCTGCGTTGTGCAATATACGTGGTGACATCTATGAAGATCAACCTGTGTGGTGCAGCGTACGTGGAGCAATCTCTCTGGTGCAATCTATGTGGTGCAGTCTATGTGGTAGCTGGTTCAGATCAAGCCCTGTCGAGCCTGGTCGCGCTCCGCGCCTCCCGCCCCGTGGCTGATGCCGCCGGCCCAGTGTGCCCGCGCTGTTCGGTCATCCTTCCTCCCCCATCCCTCCTTCCCGCCTCCTGCCCTACCCC